GACAAAGGGTGAGTGAGGTGGCCCCTACTCTCTGGAAAGTCACAATCCTGTGGGGAACCAGACACTCTCACAAGCTGCTCCAAACGAGGCCATCTGAGATAAGCCCATAGCCTGGCAGGGGATTCCTCAGCGCATGACACCTTTTGACCCCAGCAGACCTGGGAGGAAGGAAGGAATGGACAAACACTGGATGCACAGACCTGTGCGTGTCGGGCCGTCACGCCCTTGGGGTGGGCCTGACTTCCTCTGCTTTTCCATCCAAGTCTGGTCTGGGGCTCTCCGCCAGGGCTGCACGTCATGATCCCCTGGGAAACTTTGGTTATAGGTCTGGTTATAAGCACTTTTTAAAGCTCTCCAGGCTACTGGGATGTGCAGCCAGGTCTGAGAGCTGCTCTCAGCCACTACGAGCAAGGGCAAGGAGGAAATGCAGGGCAGGGATGTCACGAATTGCCCAGGACCCACCGAGTCACACAGGCTCGCCTTGATTCTGCATTTGCTCTGGTGCCTTGCTGACCACTTGCAGATGGAGAAGCCTGTACACAGAGGACAGATGGCCACCCAGGGCCACCTGGTGGCTAAGAGGGACCACTGACACCCACCCCTGTGCAGTCAGGGTCTCGACTCCGTCGCTGGGCTGTGGACCTCCCCTCCCTGCAGGACCCTCCTGGGAAGGGCCACAGTTCTGTGCGGAGGTGCAGAGGGTGGGTTTGGGAGCCAGGCGGTCTGTGCTGCTGTCCCGGTTCCTCCTGTAGCAGCCCGGCAAGTCTCTTGGTCTCTGTACCTCAGTTTTATGAGCTGTGAAGTGGGGGGCATGTCCCCCTTGGGGGGTTGAGAGGGATTCAGTGAGTGAAATGTAAAGTGGGGAGCACCATGTGTTCACATATGCTGTTTTTATTATGGTATCACAAACCTCCCCAAAATGTCCCATCCCACAGGGGCCTCTTGCCCACCCCAGACCTCTTCGGACCCTGGCACACACCGCCCTGTGCACCCTTACCTTTAGGTTGGCAGGTTCCCCACATGGTCACCCATTAGCTCTGGGCTCCGGGCAGAAACCGCCACAGTGGGCATGATTGGCAGCTGTCACTCAGCCCCAAATGGGACCCTGGGAGGAGGGCCCTGGGGAGAGTGGGGTTGGGGTGAGAAGGAAGCAGATGGGCGAGGAGCCCACCCTCTCCTGGGCCTCGGAAGAGGGAGGAAGAGGGTGAGCTGGAAGATGGTGTTAGTTAGTTAGTGAAGGCTCTAATCAAATATTTATTGGTTAATTGATCTCCGTGTGTCTGCGAGGCCGGTCGGCAGGGCCCTCCCCCTCTCCCTGCGCCTTCCACACTCTCCATCCCCTTTGCCTCCATGCAGCCCTCTCTGCACCATCCTGGGTGCTGGGTGCTCCCCGACCCTTCTGGGCACCCCGCCTGGCCCCCTCCCTCTCCTCACCCATCCTGGATCCACCTGCCACGTGCACCCACGTGCTTGCTAACCGTGAATCCCAGGGCTTCATGGGCGACCCTGGAGCAGTGAGGCAGGAACCCCTGGCAAGGGGTGCATGTGTGAGTGTGAGCGTCCACACGCACACGCGTGGGGTTCCCTCCTGTTCAGAGGCTCAAGTGCCACCTCAGCGTCAGAGTCTCTGCAGAGAGAGGGAAGGGACTGCGTGCATGGCTTTGCTGAGGGACGGGAAGGAAGAGG